GAACGAATTCGGTGGGACGCGAGTGAGTGGTTTAGTGCGCAGTGTCACAGAAAACTTCCTTGAAAATGTCGATGGCACACTCCCCTGTGAGGACTCGCTCTCAAGTCATGACATCGACTCCGGCGGAGAATGCTTTGGAAGCTGTGCTGTTGCAGCTGCAACAACTGCGCGAGGAGCGACGGCAGGAAAGTCAGGAGCAGCAACGTTTCTGCAATGAGATGGAGGCTCGTCTTAAGGAACGCGATGTTGTCCTGAATCATCTGGAGCAGCGACTTTCACAGCTAAATCCTTCCGAAAATGCTATTTCGTGCGAGAACGAGAGAGGCGCGATTCGTGAATCACGTGAGTCGTACGCGGGGACGGCGACAAACAGGGACGGGCGAACGGTTTCAGTGTTAAAACTGAAACCGGATATTTTCGACGGAACAGCTCCGTTACGCGAATTTTTGTCTCAATTTTTATTAATTGCGAATGCAAATCGATGGTCAGAAACGGAGAGGGCAGTGATACTGGCTTCATGTCTTCGGGGAAAGGCGCGTTCGTTACTCGATTCGTACGACGATGAAAACGGTACTCTCACTTTTGCGGATCTTCGATCGAAATTGGAGTTGCGTTTCGGCGAAAGCGAACTCACACAGAATTTTTATTCTCAATTTATTAATCGAAAGCAATATTCGGGAGAGGATTTTGCGTCGGTCGGTGCGAATTTGGAGCGATTAGCACGAAAAGCGTATCCTGAGTGCTCGCTTGAGGTGCGTGAAAAAATCGCTTGTTCTCAGTTTATTGCTGCTTTGTCTGATGGGTTTGTAAAACGCTCTCTTCAAGTGGAGGGAATAAGTTCGCTTCGTGTGGCGATTGAGCGTGCGAAAACATTGCAATTAATAAATCAGAGTAGTTTTCCAGAAAGAAAAAAAGTAATGTCAAATTTTCATATCGACCGCAGTCATGGCGAAATTTTGAAACGGGCACGGGGAACGGAGAAAAGAAGTTTTGTTGAAAAAGAAAAGGGGAAAGTGTGAAAGGTTAAAGAATGTTGGCAATGTGGTGCTACCGGACATTTCCGTTCTGAGTGTCCGACGTTGAAAAGGACGGAAAACTAAATTTTGTCGGGTTGATCGGGGCCAGCTCGGCAGAAAAAGCTCAGACCCCGGTTTGTGCGTGCGGCCCCGCTGATCTCGTGTGTCGTCTTGGAGGGATAGGTACAGTCGCGCGCGGACGTTTTTGTGTAAAAGGAAGTTTAAATGATAATGCAAACCGTGCATTTTTAAGATAGATACGGGCTCGGACGTGTCGGTGTTAAGTGCCAAAATGGCGATTTCTTTGAAGCAAAAACCAATAATTTCTTGCAATTTGAGGTATCCTACGGGAGAAAAAGTATCTGTAATTTCTCAGGTTTTTGCCACAGTATCTATAGGAAAAATAAATATTGATTTGCCGTTCTATGTTGCGGAAATTAGTGACGAATGTATTCTTGGAGAAGATTTTCTCTCCAAAACTGGAATTTTCGACAGTTTTCTTGAAAAAGCCTTCGTTTTGACGAAAGGTGAAATAATAAAGGAGAACGAGTTGATTTGTTCTCGGATAGAGAATTGTTCCGTTAAGCTCCCTGTTTCACTTTCCCGAATTTTCGAGGAGAGTTCTCGAAATTTGAATACTTTTGAAAAACAAATATTCTCTGATTTTTTATTAAAGTTTGTGAATATATTCTCTGAAGACATTGTTGCCGGAAATTGTAATATTTTGCGTCATAGTATAAAATTGTATGATTCTCGTCCTATTAAACAGGTACCTCGTCGAATTCCTTTACATTTGCGATTCGAGGTGAACAAAATTTTGGAAGAAATGAAATCTCGAGGGGTGATAGAGGAGTCGAACAGTCCTTGGACTTCTCCAGCAGTTTTGGTTAAAAAAAAAGATAGAACTATAAGATTTTGTATTGATTTTCGAAAGTTAAATGTTGTCACAATAAAAGATTCCTATCCGCTTCCAAGGATAGACAGTATTTTAGACTGTTTAGCAGGAAATTCTTGGT